AGACCGCCCGCGGAGGGTGAGAAGGGAACTATATATATATATATATATATATATACTGCTCCCCAAACTGGAGCAGTGGCTCAAACAGATCCCAGGAACAACATCAGACATCTCAGTCCAGAAATGTGCAGTTCTAGGCACAGCCAAGATACTGGAGGAGAACCTCAAGCTCCCAGGCCTCTGGTAGAGGACCCGAGCTCAGAGGATGAAAGAGACCACCCACGGAGGGTGAGAGGAAAATTTATATATATATATATATATATATATAAAAACAAGCATTGGGTCCATAAATATTAACACATTAGAAACTGGCTTAATACTGTGGATGCTTAAAATTATACATACACACTCCAACATTGGCCATTCTTCTTGGCTTCAAGTCAAAGTCCTTGGAAATTTATTTATAAAGGTAAAGTTGAGCCTTTAAAAACAAGTTCAGGTGTTTTATTTTTATATCTTTGTCCGGTTAAAACATTCATGTGTCTCCATGGTTCCACCACTTGAAGCTGTCACCTTTACCTGAAGGGAAACTAAAGCCTAACCTGTTCAGAAACTGAATGGTGATGAAACACCAGTGTTTCTGTCTGCATGAACGTAAAATAAAATGTTGCCAAATAAGACAGAAGCCCTTTCTTCCATACTAGTCTGTAATTGAGATTTTATGTGTAATTTTGACACTGAACGCTGAACAGAAAATCCACAATAAATTCAAACTTGCACACCTGATTCTTGCTTTTAAAAAATGAATGGATGCATGTTCATTCCGCCCTTCAGAAGCACTAGTTCAGATAACTTTTAAGAAAAGCCAAAATTACTGACATTTTCATTCATCACGAGCACTTGCACACACGTCTGGCAGAAGCTGTACGCTTATGTTTTATACAGCTACCTTGTCTTGCTGTGTACTCATTGTCCTCAATTAGCCTGGCCAGACCAAAGTCAGCAATCTTGCACACCAGATTGTCTCCGACGAGGATATTAGCAGCTCGCAGGTCACGGTGGATGTAGTTCATCCGCTCGATGTATGCCATCCCAGCTGCAATCTGCACACGAAGAGAAACCAGACATGCTCACGTCTGCGGCGGAGCTAAAAGCCTCGCTTTTGTCCACCACGTGCTGTTCGACTTGAACCTCACCTGTGCTGCCATGTCCACCAGCTGAGGCAGCTTCAGGGTCTGGCCTTCTCCGTCTTTCAAGAAGTCCAGCAAGCTTCCTATTAGAGAAAATTAAAATAGAAAAAAAAGTTACCTTTCAATGACAAATAGAGAAAGTGGTCGCTTTTTAAAACACAGGAAAATATACTTTCCTAAAAATTTTCCAAGTTCCTGGTGTCAATTTCTAACTCGTTATGATGGTTATTGAAGGAAGATAGGGTCACTAGCCTTTTTACAGTATATTTTCATTTTTTTCAATGTATGTAAAGTGGGATTTTAAATAAGTTACTTAGTTTGGATCTTTGTTTTTACCTATCTTAAAAACATGTAGAGCTCTTTCGTGTTTATACTTACAATGCTTATTTATTACTGCTGAACTTTCTCACACTTTGTGCCACCACAACCACAAACCTGAATAAACTTAGACCTTAGACCTCATGTGAAAGATATATGAATATGGTGCAGGGGTTCGTGGTTTAGCAGGGCAACAAAAGCTTTAACCCCCAGCGATGTAACGGCGGTTCAAGTCAATGGTTCTCAAATAATTTATTACTATGTACCATCACAGAAATTAAAGTTTTCCATGCATCACCATCTTAACAGGAATCTCGAACCTTAAAGCAACAACAACTTCTTTGTTGTGTCAATAAAAACATGACATTCTTATCCACTGAGACGACATGTTTTGTCTTTAAAATTAGGAAAATTATCAGAGCGAAAGTGAAAAAAGTCAGATGTTTCTCATCAACCTTGACTGCATGATCCAATATGGCTGCTTTGCATATAAAACATAGAGACAGCCAGCATAAAAACTGCACATATTCAGTTTTGACAATTTGTGTCCTACTCAATATGTAAGATTAATTAGATTAGGTATTATTAGATTAGATTAATCTTCTTCAATGAACTTGTCTCTGCAGTGCTGAAAAGTAAAGTATTAGAAGTTGTCCTGGTCACTGAGCGTCATTTAGCAGAACCAGTGGTTTTCCAACTTGGATCAGAAAAAATCTGATAAAATCTCAGGATCCAAGTTTTAAATGAATATAAAATAGAAACAGAGCACTGGTTTTCACTGCACTCTTCTTTTGGGAAGTGATGTAGTAAAAGTCTTTTTGGCTTTTGGTGTTTAACAGCGCTGCGGCTAAAAATCAGAATCAATATTGCTTCTGCTCTTTTCTTTTATAATATGAACTGAATCCTTATGACTGAACGAAAGCCCTTTGAGTTTTATTAACCGTACGTCTCATTTAAGGAATGAAAAAAAAAAAATTCAAAGTTACTTCAAAAGTTTGACGTCAGCAAGGCTTCCCCCCTGCGGCGATGGAGGCAGTTCAAACCTACAATATGTCAGAGCGGTGACAGTTTACTCAACCCCGATACCTTGGCTCATGAACTCAGTGATGATGTAGATGGGCTCCTCAGACACAACGGCGTACAGCTGTACCAGCTTGTCGTGCCGGAGCCTCTTCATGATCTGAGCCTCCTCCAGGAAGGCCTCGGGGGACATGGTTCCTGGCTTCAGAGTCTTCACCGCTACCTTGGTGGTGCCGTTCCACATGCCTGGCATACAGACGAGCTGATGTTAACCGGCGCACAGAAAAGCGGGGATGCGCACAGAAAAAGGCCTCGTGTATGTGCCAATTTGTCTGTCCTGTTGACAGCTGCATGTGCATGCAGTGTGTCTGCAGCATATAAAAAGCAAACAACAAACAAAAATGGAGTAGTGAGCTGGTTGCATGTGGTAAATGCTGATCCATGCACATGGTTGGTATTTTGGAGGGCATGCGTGACGTTAATGAGTGAGCCGAGAGACAACAGATGAACGGAGGTTTGTCTGGTTTTCTTACGTCAATAAAAGCAGACCCTTAGTCACAGTGTCGGTCAGAAGTATACATACTCTCGCTATGGACATGAATTTCATATGTTTAGGGATTTCAAGGAACCAAAAGAACTGTGGACTGATTATTAAGCACCCAACTATAATCCCAGTGTTTGGGAATATTGTTCATTTGCTCCAAACTGGCTTCCTCAACTTTGGTTTGAACTGGGAACCACCAAGATTGCTAAGCCAAAAACACCAGTGTCATTATCTGAATGGAGCAAGTTTAGCATCAACATGAAACAGAGACCAATAAAAAAGTGCCTAGTCAAAAATCAACACCTTCAAATTGAGGTAACAGCAGACAAGCTCTTCTTACCTCGTCTTTATCAGAGGAGTTAAAGATTGAACTCATTAACGAAGTAGGTTTGGGGAAGTGAAAGGGAGACTTTGAAACCCAAGAAACAACTAAAAATTGCCAATTTAAAGTAACTCCAATAATTCAGGTTAGAACAAAGATGAAATATCCGTCCAGAATAGTGCAGGGATCTTGGTGACGGCAACAAAAAGAGTTGCTCAGCAACATTTTCTAAACTTTGGAGGAGATATTCAATCCAGACTGTAAAAAGAATGGTTCAAATGTGTCCTTAATGGACCTAAAGGAGTGTGAGATTTATGTCCGTGATGGGAGTGTGTGAACTTCCTGCAGCACTGTACACACAGATGACATCAGGATGAAAACCTGTACAGCTCAAAAAAATATGTTAAAGCACTCAGATTTAGTCACTGGAAAACTCTTTCAGGGTTATATATTTTAAGGTAAAAATATCCAGTGTGTTCTCTACTGAGAAACAATACACTGGCATAAAAGGAAATCTTGAATTAGACACTGAAATAAACCAAAATAATCTTTGTTACAGCTCAATTTTTCCCTGTTTTTCCTAACTTTTAGAGTTTGCCCGCATCAGTCTCACCCATCCAGACATCCCCGAAGCACCCCTGTCCCAGCTTCCTTTGCATTGACAGGGTTTCCCTCGGCACTTCCCAGGCGTCCCGCCCAAGGCCCAGGGTGAGAGGGGTGGAGTTGAAGCAGGGCTTGGTCAGGTAGTAACAGAGTCCATCGTTAGTTCCTAAGAGGAAGAGGAGGGAGAGGGGGTGCCAGAGATGGTGGGAAAGAAGTTTGGTGATGGAGGATGGGAGAAGAAAGGGTGAAGGTGTGGGTTGGAGAGTTGGTGAAAAGATGGAAAGGGGTGACAAAATGTGATGTGAGTTTTAAAAACATGCACATGCAACGAAAGGAGGATCAGGAGAACAACTCAGCACATCTGGATGTGGAACAGGAACTCAGATTCCTCTGAGTGACGCGCCCACTTGCAACTTTTCAATTTATTTATTTATGAATTTGTTTCTTTACGATTTTACGTTAAGAAATATTCACACTTTCTATCCCGTTGCAGTTATACATTTTTAAACAGGCGTGCTTCTGTTGTTCTTTTTTCTCCTTCAGCGAATCCCCAACAGTCCTACCCATCCAGACTTCTCCAAACTGGCCGTTGCCCAGTTTCTTAATCAGCTGGAGAGACTCGCGGGGAATCTCCCACATATCCTTGGTCTTCACTGATAAGTCGGCCAGCTTAGGCATGCCCCTCTTACAGCTGCCCATCAAGCGGCAGCACAGTCCCGCCGCTCTCTCTGAGACAGAGAGAGACGGAGAGACATACAAACAGACAAATATAGAGAAGAGCAGAGCAAATGCAAAAGGTAAAGAAAGAAAAATGCAAGTTAAGCAAACATACAACACCACAACACACATAAACATATAATGTACAAAGCAAAAATATGCATAAATGTGGCAGAAACACAGCCAGGATGCTGTCGGAAAGACAAAAAAAAATAAATACGTGCCAAGATGCAAACTGAATTATGTGCGCTGTTCCCAAAATGCGCCACTAGGGGGCAGATTTACACTTTCAACTAGAGACGGAAGTGCAAAGCATTATGTCATCCAAACTCTTCTTTTTCGAGTTTGTAGCTGAAGTAAAACGTGTTTCTTGCATTTTAAAAAGGCCAGAGAAACTTAATTTTTCCTATTTCCTGAGTCAGTTAATCATAACTGACTCAGTTATTTTTATAGGGACTGCCTATGGTTATAAAAGCACAATGCAAAAAGCAGTATCAAGTAGAAGTATTTAAGATTTCCTGTCAAAAGTATTCATACACTTTGAACTTTTTCACGTCACGTTGCAACTACAATTTTTTTTTGTTGTTTTACATGTTTTAGAGGGACTTATAATGCCCAGGCTCACGTACGATAACCAAAACCAACACAAAGTAGGTTATTATTGTGAAGAAGACAAGAAAAAAATTCTTTAAAATTACCTAACATGGTGGTGGCAGCGTCATATTGTGGAGACACTTTTCTTCAGCTTCGGTATGGAAATTTTAAGAGCTGAATTTAGATCTGACTGAGGATCTGTGGACTTAATAATTGAAGTTCACGGAAGCTTTGCATCAAATTCGACCAAACTTAAACTACTGTAGAAAAATAAGCATAAGTTTCAGTTTCTAGATGTGTAAAGTTGGAGCATATCCCCAAATGCAACGTAGCCAAAAATGGTTACACAACTGGTCACCCTGGATCTTAATGAGGGCAGTCAGAGTAACTGGTTCCCAATTCAAATGCATGCCACATTGCATTTGTTTCTAAGCCATCCATTACTTTCTCCTGCTTCACAACTGCTGAATCCACC